TATTGAGTTTATTCATTACAAACATACACACGAAAATACAAATCTTTCCTCTTTATAATATTAGTGTAGATGTACTCGTAGATTAACGTAGATGTAGATGTAGACAAGTCTCCTAGGAGCGCTAGTAAAATCATAACCGTTTAAATTAACTTAAACAAACCCTATTTAACTTAATAACAACGCGAACACATCCACCAGATTATTATAAAAAGGAAATTATTTCGTGGATGATTTTATTTGTATCCCAAAACTTTTGTCGTAATATTTATAGCATTTGTTTATTTTGTCGGTAAACAACACGATGTAATCTCTTGTATGATTAATGTGCATAATAAAAGCGTGCTGTGCCTTTTATATTGTCTTGCGACGCGTTAAAATCCAATTAAATGTTTTAATGAATCGATTGTTGTGACAAAGTTGAACAGTTTCAAACTCCACACGTAATTATGAATTGAACTTGTATGAAATATCCTACTACATAGAGGTACGGAATATTTAATAGTTCAGCGAACGAAAATGGACAATATTTAAAAAGTTAATGTACTTGTAACAAAGTGTGGCAGGGAAGAAAGGGATTGTTAGTAATGGAGACTAAAGTCCCATTGCTAGCAGTATGCCCAACCAGGTCGACCTACTCGTGGTTCCCCCTGGAAACTATCATGGTTAATTCCTGGTGAATTCATCTGGCTAACTGGCCTGTTTTCATTCTCATCTATCACCCTTCACTGGTGCTCCGCCAGCGTATCCCATTAGCGCAGGCGGAGTTACCATTTCATTTTCACCCATCAAAAAAAAAAAACAAAGTGTGGCATTACTAATTATATTTTTAATTAGGCTGTAGGAACTCTACAGTTTATTGTACATACAAACCTACCGTTAAAAATATCTAAATGACATTGAAACCCATATTAAAAATTGTTATATATATATTAGAAATAAACAAATAACAGACAGACGTGATATTATTATACATATATTTCATAAAATTGATGTTGCAACCACATTATTTATAAGATTATGTTCCTCAAAAAAAAAAACCAAATTTAATTATGGCAGTCTTTTATTTTTATTTAAAAACTACACTACTGTAACGATTTTAACATTTCTATGAATCTAATCTATAAGTATATCCTTCCAATTAAAAAAAAATCCAAATCGATTTACAACTGATGAAGTTATGAGGTAAAAAGCACAAAATAGAAAAAGACTTTGTACGTAAGTCGTTTGCTTGGGTACCTCTTTCCCCATTTGTTTCTACCGTGAAGCAATGTTTGCATGGCTGTGTTTCGCTTTGAAGGGTGGGGGATATGGCGTGAATTTACTGGGTACAGAGGAATAACACCTGAGTCCTCAGGAATGGTAACGCATAGGGGTTATCATAGGCGAAACAGTATACTCTGTTATGTCCATGGTACTGCTCATGTCTATAAGCGACAGTTACCACTTTCCATCAGGTGGGCCGTCAGCTTGTTTGCCATTCTAAGTTGTATAACAAAAAAATGCAACCGAATCTAGAACCTTCTTCTATTTGAAATAAATACGAAAATTTAATAATAATTAAGTCTAATTTAATTTTCAGAAGTGGCAAACCATGAGTCTCATGGTGTTATCTTCGTATTGAGTAACATTTCCATTAGCACTACCCATCAGCCAGGCCGTCAGCTTGTCTGCTACATCCAATACCATGTAAATAAGCGGCGAATACAGAATGAGACCCACGACCGCACTTCCGAGAAAGAAACAACTAATATTGGGACATGCACAACGGGAATTTTATTAACTCACTGTGTCTGTCGTTATGTATATATATATATATATATATATATATATATTAATTCATTAAATCATTATACCAGCCTTTAACTGTCCACTGCTGAACATAAGCCTCCCCCTTGGGGGGTTTTGCCAGTATTTGCTTGCACGCTTGGCAGGTAGGTGGGCAACCGCAGTTAGGCTTTAGAAATGTTTTAAGAGGGACGTTGATCCTTCGCTCTTCCTTAGTCGATTCTTACGACACCCACGAGAAAGGAATCATACCACATATGAGACCACACGGCAAAAATTGGTATTATACTAAATATTATATTATAATAATTTTAAAATTGAATGTAAATACTAAACTTATATACTAAGTATATAAGTTTATTCTCATTCTAAGTTGTATAAAAAAAAAATACTTTCAGAGCACCGTTGCGTCGGCCATGCCCATTGTTTGGAAATGATCTTATCACTAATCAGTTACAAACACAACTTTATAATAGCTTTTAATAAGGTTTTACTATAGGTAGCAGTGTAGTTCCTGGCATAAAATAGGCTACCCCTTCCTTTCACGTGGGTGCTGTAATAGATGACTAAAGGAGCTATGGTCGAAGGATGGGCAGCAGCGTCCCTCTTAATACATCACCAAAAGCCAAACTGCGGTTGCTAATCTACCTACCAAGCGTGGTAACTGCCACAGTAGGCAATTACCCGCTGATACAATAAAAAAGGGTCCACCAACAAAAAGTTTATAATTAAAACAATCCTAATCCTTAGTCATATTATAAATGTGAAAGTGAGTTTGTTTACTACCTCTTGTCGCTTTAACGACTTGACCAATCATGTTAAAATTTATAATAATGTAATATTGGAAAATATTCCAAAAACTTCCCATAAATATGTAATCTAAAAAAATATGCCCAAGACCATAATGTTAGATTGTAGTCAACCGTAGTGGTAAGCTAACATTCCAGTTAATCACATTCAAATTTAATCCAACAGTGAGCAAAGCCCACTAACATCTCGTGAAATAAAATTATTTATTAAAGGTATTCGCCGTAAAAGAAATATAAATTAAACGACAAAAACATAAATGTTATCTTTTGGGCATTGTAATTTATTTTCAACTTGAAATGGCAAACAAGCTAAGAACTTGACTATGAAAAGCGATAGTTGTCACTCATGCTTTGCTATTCCGGACGATTAAAAAATCAAAATGTTATGGAATTTTGCTGCCATCATCATCACCATTTCAGTCGCCCTCATAGACTGCCATAAGGAACATTTCTGAACCACCTATATCCACTGACTCTCTTCAGTGCATTTGAGGTCGTCGCTCCATCTAATAGGAGGTCTTCGAGAGATTCTTCGAGCTATGACCAGCCCATTGCCACTTCAGCTTGCTTATCCTTCGGGCTATGTCGGTTATTTTGATTCTTTTGCGAATATCCTCATTTTGGATTCTATCATGCAAAGAAACTCTGAGTATAGCCCTCTCCAAAGCTCGCTGAGTATCTTGAAGTTTCTGCATATTGCCGACCGTGTAGGACTATGTCATTAAAGATCATCTTCAAACTTTGAGGTATTTTAGATATTGCTGCCACATGCCACTTCAAACCGAAATACAGTTATGGAAATACAAGAGAGTCACATATATCAGTTAGAATAATAAACGACCAGGCCGCGAAGCTATCAAAACACTATATGTGTTGAAGCGACCATAATATCTATCCATAATTTCAAATTACAGATCTATTGGAAGTTTTTTAATCAACCAAAATTTTCAATTCGCTTGTATTTGATTTGCTTGTAGCCCCAGAACTCAGTCATTTATAAACCGATTTTGATTTTTTTTCTTTTTGCTTGGTCTCGTAGAAATTTAACCAAAATCGGTTTAGTAGTTCAGTTTTGAAATTAAAATTGAAATTGATTTTATTATTTAACATATCAACTTCAAACCCGCTCATTGCAGTTCCACAGCTGGGCGCCCATCTCTTTCCATAAGAGAAGAATATTATTCTACTATTAAGATTGGAGAGAAGTGATTGTTAGTAATGGGGATCTAACAGCGCCATTGCTAGCAATATACCCTATCAAGTTAACCTCCACGCGGTTCTTCCTGACAACTATTGTGATAAATTCTTGTGCAATTGGCCACGACGGCCTAACTGCCCTGTTTTCATCCTCACCTATCTTCTTACACTGAAGACATGTCAACGTGTACCGATAACGTAGGCAAACCATTCCATTTTCACCCATTAAAAAAAGAACTGTTATTTACTACCTGTATCCTGCGACTTTGGCCGTATCTATCAGTATATAATACTTCTAAAGTATCTACGTATTAAGTTACAATATAACCTACCCTTGTACCAAATTACATTCAAATCCTTTCAGCCGTTTAAGCATATATTGATAGCGTAAGCGATATTACCATCCCATTATCACTCATAAAAAAATGGGACAAAACTTCACTGAGTTATATTTAAACACGCACTGGTATTATCATATATGTGCATGCTTTTTTTTTTGTTTTCCTTCTATCCTTTGTTGTTATTTAAAATAAATTTATTTGGTAACTGTAATCTACATCGCAAAAATTGAAAAAGTAATTTTTAATCTTGATGTTTAATTAACGTGTAATGAATATAATTTAAGGACCTCTGTGGTGGGCGAGCTGCTTTGAGTAAATGAAGTTCCCCGTTCGATACCTGGTCGGACCAATTTAAGAGAGGAACTTTTTGAAATGGCTCTAGACCGAGTGTTTTAGGTTATAGGCCCCTAAATGCTAGTTGCCTGATTACTCTTCTTCATAAAGGTAACTAATCTTGAGGACCAGGCCCTTAGTGTGATTGTATGGCACTTATTTTTTTTTAATTATTTGTAGAAGGTACAATTGAAGCTTACTAAAATAAAACAGTTTTATGAATACGTAAAAATCTTTTAAATAAGACTTAAAAACATTGCAATCCCTTCAATAAAACTCTTAATGAAACAAGTTCAAATTCAAAACTTTTATATTCTAGTCTGAAAACGTAAATTCACGTTATAAAAGTCTCTAAAGTTATTGTGAGTAATTTAATAAAAAAAAAGTTAGGCGCCGTCCAAAAAAAACGCACGCTTGTACCCACTATTAATCGGTCAACAAACCTATTCGATATAACAATCAATATAAAAATGTCACAACGTTAATTGACCTGTAAATCACGCAATCTTATCGTATATAAATCTGCAATTGTTACCTAAATATTTTTATTGGCCCGTACCGGCCACGGACGTCGCCGCGAGCTAGACGTAGTACACAGCCACTGTTCCAGTTGTGAGCACACAGACACTAATTTCACAGATGCAACATAATTGTATACACGTCACTATGTACTTGGCACAGATCACTACGCGGCACAGATGCAGGCGTGTGGTGTTCGTACCGGTTAGGGCGGGTGCACACGGGCGCGCTCTCGTCGGATACCGGACGGGTACTGCCGGGCTGGACGCGCCGCCGCGCCGCGCCCTCCCGCCCGCCCGCCCTCGCCGCCGCCGAAAATCCTTTTCAGTAGCAACTTACAGTCGCGTTAAATAAATGAAAAACTGAAAGTCATAACAGATTGATGGCTATTGAATGTAAAGTATTTGATTAGTTGCGTCCTGTGCGAAATTATTTGTTGATTCTTAACCGACTTCGGAAAAGGAGTAGGCTCTTTTTTCTGCTACTTTCACAGGGAGGTCCCCGCTGCGTCTATGTTTCTTATATGTTCGATAACTTAACTAATTGTGAACTAATTTTTAAAATTTTTTTTTACTCCCATCTCGATTATATATTTTTTTAATGCAACTTAAAATGGCAAATAAGTTGACGGCCCACCTGATGGAAAGTGGTAACCGTCGCCTATAGACATGAGCAGTACCATGGACATAACAGAGTATATATACTGTTTCGCCCATGATACCCCTATGCGATGCCATTTCTGAGGACTCGGGTGTTATTCGTATTTAACCTGTAAAACTGCCATATTATTTTCTTAACATTAAAGTAATTTTTTTTTATTTTGTGGAAAAATCTACTTTTTCAACCGACTTCAAAAAAGAAAGTGTATTTTTTTGTGTTCTTTTTATAATTGTTGCCTTATAACGCCGTCTTTACAAACTGATTTGAAATATTTTTTTATCACCTGAAAACAATATACTTACTCGTTATGCCTCAGTATCGTGTAATTTGACTACCATATCCCGGCTTCCACATTGAGATAGCCTTTTGAGCACGTCTCTGATACTTCGTACCAAAAGACAAGCGAGTAAAAATGCTTGAAATGGCCAATTTTTAAAACGATATCGACATTTCTCTACATATTTAACCGTCTTCAAAAAAGAAGCTTAAGTTTTATGTTTGACTGTATATTTTTTTTTATACCAACCGATTAGTTCATCAATTGTAGACCGATTTTAATAATTCTTTTTTTTTATTCTAAAGAGTATACAACAATAGCAAAAAGAAATTAATATAAATAAATGGTTAAAATTATTAAGTTCGAAAGCTACCACTTAACCACTACACTTCACTAGAGGGAGACTTTGTACAAAAGTCGATTGCTTGGGTACCTCTGTCCCATTCGTGTTTCAACCGTGATGCAGTTGTGTTTGCATGGCTGTGTTTCGGGTTGAAGGGTGGGATATGGCGTGAATTTACAGGGTACAGAGGAATAACACCTGACTCCTCAGGAATGGCAACGCATGCGGGGTATCGTGGGCGAAACAGTATACTCTGTTATGTCCATGGTACTGTTCATGTCTATAGGCGACGGTTACCACTTTCTATCAGGTGGGCCGTCGGCTTGTTTGCCATTCTAAGTAGTATAAAAAAAAATATAAAAATATTTAGGTTTTTTCTTCATATTATGTAACACAAAAGTTTTTATTAATGACTAATCAAATTTATACCACATAGAATCGCAGCGAGAACTGGTTGATTCAACAAAACAACAATTTGGATGTACACTTCAATATTTTTAAATGGAAATAATATTCGCAACAATATTGGATACAGAAACTTTCATAGTAAATCAAGCTGGAATTTCACCCTTTGTAGAGACATTTTTTTATATATGTATTTCACTCAATTTTTGTCACATAAAAAGGCATCAGGAGCGAATTCATCGCGCCATATTGAAATATTCGCGTGCGTAGGTGTTTGAACCGCGCCACCTCGCGTCTATTTCTATTTCACAAACAATTTGAATATGACGTTACTGAATGTACAAATGTAACATTATTTCGACAATTGTATACATTTTATTCCGTTGGTTGGTGTACACTCAGCAATTTGACTTATCAATCGTAATTCATTAGGTAGTTAATCGAATTACATGAATCACGAATAACAATATTTGCTTCGAAAAAGTAATTTTGGCTAGTACTAATAATCTTGTTTTAAAAAGAATCATCATCATCGACCACTGCTGGACATAAGCCTTCCCCTTGGGTACTTTTGCCAGTAGTTGCCACAATTGGCAGACGGATTGGCAACTACTTTTAGGCTTTGAAGATGTTTTAAGAGGGATGCTGCTGCCCATCTCTCCCCTTCCCTAAGTCCCTCTTACGACATGCATGGGAAAGGAAGGGGTGGCCCATTCTATACCGGGACCATACGGCAATTACTAGTAGTTTACTGTAATAACAAACAATAGGTCTTGTAAACGTTTCCAAAATTGTATTGGCGAGACTGTTTGTTTTTTGTAAATATTTTTTTTTATTTCGAATTTTCTATATTTTGCACTATGTGTAAGGTGCTGAATTCCTATAGTCGAAGGGAAAAGTCTGTTTATAATGGTGATTAACAACCCCATTACTGACAACATACCCTATCAGATCGGCCCCCATGCGATCCCATTGGAAACCATCGTGGTTAATCACTGGTAAATTCGTTACAATGGAGCTACTGTTGTGACAGCATCCTTATCATCCTTCGCTGGTAATCCGCTAGCGTATACCTCTTAAATAAACTTATCCTTATGGAATAATGGAATTTGTTACGCTACAATAAGTTCAATAAAAAATCTAGATACCTTTTTAAATTTAGCTTTAAGTTAGACTTAGACCAGCCAAGCTTCACGACTCTGGAGTGCACTGCCTCAGGATATCCGAGAACTTTCAAATAAATTCATGTTCAAAAGAAGAGTCAATGCTCACCTTATGTACTCATTACAACAATAGTAGCTAGTCGTCTTCTTTTATATTTTATTTATTTATACAGGGTGTCTGGTTTCATGTAGTCCAAACGAAAACCATCGATAGAGGGGTCCAAGGGTTTCTCTAAACACCCCCATGTATGTTCTGCAAACATTTGTAGTTTTCGAGAAATTTGCATTTTTATAAATTTTTCGTTAGTGCCTTCTTTATTTATTTTCTCCTAAACTATTATTACCAAAACCTTAATTATTTTTGTGGATGTGAACAATTAATAGGCCTTTCACTACGACACTAGAATCCTAATCCAGGCTGATAAGTTATTGAGAAAAAAAAAATAAAGAATACATTACTTTTGTTTCGATGATTTCTTACTATTTCTTTAGGGAAGTTTAACTCTACAAAACCGCATAACAAAATACTTAGAGACCCAAATGGGTCTCTAAGTTTTTGAAATCAAAAACTTGTCTACTATATGAACTTATTATTTGTAAAATTTCACCCGGCTAAGGCATGTTGAACCTTATTTTAATTTTGGTCAATAAAGTTGTTTAAATAAAAATAAATTATGAAACAGAGCTACATCAATCCATCCTTTTGCTCATCATTTAACTGGATTATCATTAATTTAGCAATATCTTATAAGAGCAGACACTGTTTTGGTTTGAATGGATATAAATCAAGATAAATTGCCAATTGTTTACTACACGATGACACTGGATTTATAAACATAAATGGACAATATTTCATTTATTATCTGTGTAGAGTTATTAATAGTTACACTACATCTAATTTTTTTATTTATTATAATAGTTTTTATTTAGGTTTCAGAGAAATTTTCTCCCACGAACGCTTAGACTGTGAATTGAACTCCCAGCCGAAGTTTTCCTCATATTACCTACATTACACATGTGTATATAGGAACATATATATTACACAAACATATATATATATATATTGGATGCAGATGCTTCTGGACCGTTCCTTATGGCAGTTTATGCCTACGTTCAGCGGTTGACAGTTGAAGGTTAGGACAATGATTACATATATATATATATATATATATATATATATATATATATATATATATATATATATATATATATATATATATATATATATATAATATTTTTACTCGCGACATTATCTGTATGAGCATAATATATTTACTGTTCGGGTTGAATCCTGTCTTTCTACATTCCAAATAGTATGCCAACTCGTTGAGCAGTTAAGACGCTAAAAAGTTTGTCAAACAAAACAAAAAACAAACTCACTTTCACATTTATAATACTAAATACTAGTGAGAGCTTACGTAATCACAGAGTAGAGGCATTAGAACAAAAACTAGGTTATTTATTGCTGTGGACATAATAGAGCCTTCTTTCTCCAAATATAAATATATACGTACGTAATTTATTATTTCCAGAGTAACTAGAAGATTTTCTATCTAAGATATTAATTATCAAACCAAATCAAACCGAAATCCTATGGTATCGACGTCGAATGAACGTCAGAAGTACCTAGTAGTTTAAATGCAATGGAAAACGCAAAGGAACTAAGCCTTCATCGATTCCTTCATTCGATTCAAACGAACAATATTGCAAGATACGAATGGTGTAAAGGTTTTTTTTTATACAACTTAGAATGCCAACAAGCTGACGGCCCACCCGATGGAAAGTGGTAACCGTCGCCTATAGACATGAGCAGTACCATGGACATAACAGAGTATACTGTTTCGCCCATGATACCCCCCATGCGTTGCCATTCCTGAGGATTCAGGTGTTATTCCTCTGTACCCAGTAAATTCACGCCATATCCCACCCTTCAAACAGAAACACAGCCATGCAAACACAACTGCTTCACGGTTGAAACACGAATGAGACAGAGGTGCCCAAACAATCCACTTTTATACAAAGTCTCCTTCTTTTTATTCTATCAAAACGGTACTATAGAATATGGCTGTATGGTCTCAGCATAGAATAAGCCACCGCTTCCTTTCTCATAAGGGTTGTAAGAGGCGACTAAGAGAACTTAATGGTAGAAGGATTAGGAAGCAGCGTTCTTCTTAAAACATCTCTAAAGCTTAACTGCGGTTGCCCAATCAGCCGTGTCAAGCGTGGCAACTACTTGCAAAACCCCCCAAAGGGGGGTCTTTTGTTCAGCAGTGGACAGTTAATATTATAAAGAGAAAACATTAGATTTTTTTAATTGTAGTGAATGAAGTGAATAAACACAAAAACTACTTAACCGATTTTAAAAATTCTTTTACCAGAGGGAAACT